GCTCTAGAAGAGTTAGAAAAAAAATGTCATCTGAGAGAGAATTTGTAATTTTCGTTTAAAAGTGAAAAAGGTCAAGAATGGAAGTATTAAGATCGTATTGCTAAGATAAGTTTATCTTCGATAAGATAAATTTGAAACTTTTTTTCTTTTTTTGTGCCCAATTTTTGAGGTCAATGAACCAAATTTCTACAATTCATTTATTGATCTTCCAATCGATACGTCAATCATCCGGTTGAAATTACGGAATGAAAAAGATAGTAAAAGTGGAGCAGAATAGAATATAATTGGATTGAATGGAAAAGATAAAACAGGACGGAAAAAAAAATGGACTAGAAGGAAGAGAAGTATGAAATAATGATAACTAAATAATGCAAATAATCAACAATTAACTAATTAATTAGTGATTAATCAATCAATTACTGGATTAGTTTTTTAAAGTTTTTCTGCTTTCTGTTTCTTCCATGAGAACATTTCTCTATAATTTACTATTGATCGGCTTGATTTTGAAGTCAGTGAACTTGGCTTGATATCAAATTTATGTCATAAATGTTGATTGAAGGATGACTAGAGCAGAATTTCCAAAATTCAGGCAATTCAAGAAAGAAGATTTTACCGGATCAGTGTTGGATTAAAAAGAAATCTGGAGACATTTGGGATAGAATCTTCTCAATTTGAAATGGTGACAGGCAACACATGACCATTTGTCAATTTTCCAGAAAATGATCTTTTTATTCTTCCTTATTTTTAAACACTTTCTGTTAATTCTATTCATATTCCTCATTAAATTAAATATTACAATTTTACGAAATTGTAACATTTCTGCAAGGAATGAGAAGATTACGAATGAAAAAAATATAGAATGTGAGGGATAAACATTCTGAAATTTAGAAATGAAATTTAATAAAAAGAATAAAATGGTCATACCGGTGTAGGTAAATGCCTATCAGAGAATTACGGAAACGGAATCTAAAAATTTTGAGGATGAGGGAAAGAAAAATTAGATTTTAAATTAAATGAGTAAGGATCATATTCCTGCACGTCATTCTTTCATTTCAACTTTTTTTTCTTTTTTTCATTTCAATTTGTGATGTGTGACAAGTAGTTGGACAAATATTCTTCGATTCTTTCATTAAATATAGTGAATGACATTTTTCAAATCATTTAATTTTTTTTTTAAAATTTACAACTAAAAGATTTCTCTTTCAATTTCCACTTCACCGAATTTCAAAATTGGTTAAACAAAAAGGGCGCTAAAAATGATGATCCTTTTTATCTTCATCCTTTGCATATCATTTCCCTCCAACTTTGAGAGGAATAATTCAAATCAAATTGTATTTTGGTAAATTGTCAAACTAAAGAGATAGTGGAATAGTCTGAAGGAAAAATTGACAGATCATCGAAACAGTTGTTAATTTTACTCCAAAATCATTATTACTACAACTTATGACCATTACCGCCAAAATATCAAATTTCAATATATACATGTATATATATATATGCATCGAAATTTTTAAATTTAAAAGAATAGTGGACAAACAAATCGATGGACAGATTGAAAAACTATATGTGAAAGGGAATGAAATACATCATCAAAAATTACACCATAATTTAGCTTAATAATTTACTTATTTATTTGATTTAATAACTTACTTACTCCTTTACTTACATACCTAGTTAAGAATGCTTAATAAGTATTTTTATAAAATCCTTCTAATACCATACGCTGCTTACTATTCAACTTTTTCAGTTTACTCGATTCAATTTATAATTAGTCAATTATGCATATAATATGCCAATTGTCATTTCATTTTAACAAATGACAATTGTCATTTCATTTTAACAAATGATATTTCTTTATGCTTTAAAGCTATCATGTTTATTAAGAAAGAAGAGATGTGTAATAATTCTCGACTTTTGACATCATTACTTTCAACAATTTCTTATTTTTGATTATTTATAAAATTCTTATGTAAACAGTAAAAAGTTAGGAGAGAAATTTGAAGAAATATTTTAAATTCATAAAATAATTAATGAAAAAAAAGAAAAAAAACTTGCCAGCATTGATCAATTGTCGTGGTTTTAAATTGATATAATCATTAGCAAGAAGTAAAATTGGCATTAAAATTTCAATAATAATCACTTCTTTGCGCATTCTTTCCACTAATCCTTCCCGTTTGTTGCTAATTTTTCTTGCATTTATGAATAATTCAAATTTACCAATGAATCACCATTTCTTCTTTGTATATAACAGTGATAATTTTCAATGTATCATTTTCATTTCAGTTAGTAATTAATGAATTTGAAATCTGAAATACGAACATATTATTAATTATGATTGAAATGATTCGCATACGTTAGTTAGGCTAAACGATAATTCATATGAAAAGTTAATTATTTGATTCAAACTTTACAAATCTAAAATCACTTTCATTCTTATTTCATAGCTTTATATTATTAGCGCAAAAAAAAAAAAAAAGAAAAAAAAAGGGACAGACAATTACCGCCACATATACATCTTTTTTCATTAAATTAATAATTCCTTTGAAATTATCGATAATACGGAAATTTATGACAGAATTTGATGTACCGGAAAAGATAGATTAAAATGTGATCATAGATAAATTTTAGTATTCCTGATAGATAGCCAGTTATCACCACAACAATCGATGGAATTATTTCAGGAAATAAATAAATGGCCAGCCTTAGATGCATGTTTCAGATGAATAAGTCAAATGGATGTGTTTCAAAATTTCATGGATTAAAAATTTGCTATCAAAATGTTGTCTCAAGAAAATATCAAAAAGATAGTGGGAAATGTTTTCAGGATTTGTGTTATTCTCATTTCTCTCCTTGCAACCGATTTGATTGACCTTATAGATTTCATGGAAAAACAAATTTCCGGAAGCTTCAAAAGTGTTGTTAAAAGGAATTATTAAAAATAATAAGCTAAGTTAAAATCCGTTGACGGGAACACTAACCAAACCGGAAGAAGATTCAACCAAAATTCACTCATTCCCCAGAGAATGTCATTTGAGCATGAGTCAACCATTGGTCGTTAAGTGCGAATGATGGATGGAGTCATTAAGGAGCAACTGATTACATGACAATAATTGGACAATTGCGCCATTTTTTTTTCAATTCTAACATAAACAAGTTTTAATTTAATCAATTCCAATTTAAACTTAATTTAATTAAAATTCGCTTTCAAAATGCACAAGAAAGTAATGCGACAAATGCAATTATAATCAATTCCTCCTTTACCTATCTGATATAAATCGGAAAAAGATAATTATCCTTTTCCGTTTTCTAGAGAGAAAAATCTTCCGGTGTTTGATTCAGTACATTAACTATTCATTCCGTCAACCATTTATCCGTCCATTTGCTTATCCGGTAATGTAACTCAGAGTTATGAATTATCTAGAAAAATCATTTCTTGATTCTATTTCTTTCCAATTCCAAAGCATTAAAACTCTATGTTGTGAAGCTCCATTTATTTCTTCCTGCACTTTCGCGGGAAATCATTTAATCCGATGATCCCAACGAATAACTTAAATATGATAGTTTCATTGAGTGAACTTTGAACCAATACTTAGAAGAGTACCTAACATCCTTTAGAGTGTAATTCACTTATCTAAACTGATAGTAATTTTTAACAATCAAATGACACATTATTAGGAAATGATCGAAACACTTAGATGATCTTATCATTTAAACATATCATTCTATAAATCTTCAAACAGTAATTAGGTTTAAATGTAACATAGCAAATAGACGACGACCCATTGCATCATTATAAATCATGATTAATGATGTTGCACTTTGATCGCTATCACCCCACTATCACCATCGACGAGACCTATCATTGGCCCTTATCATTTACAGCTACCCTTCCTTTATCACCAATCATATTGTCCTGCTTAAATTATGTTTAATATTTGAAAAGATTTAAGCGAAATTTTGAAATCCAAGAAAAAGAAAAAAAGAAGTGAAGGAAAAAAAAGAAGGAGGACACGTGACTAAAATGACCGAAGTATGCCAAAGAAAACATCATAGCTATAGTAAATGATGGAAGAAGTGTACTGGTCATCCTTTGTCTATCGGGTCAGAAGTGACCATATATCCTCATCTTCCCTTGTAATGATCAACCAGAAGAGCAGCAAGAGTAAATGGGGAGGAGATAGCATAGCATATCTGCATTTGAAGAATTGAAGAAAATGAGGGCGGCTAAAAGAGGGTGTTATTGATGTGGACAGAGTTGATTGGGGTCATTATTAATGAGATGAATTATGATGTGATATGATATGATATGATATGATAATCAGAATAGATAGATAGGAATAATATTATCTTTGTGATATCTTTCCCTTTTTTCCTCTCTCTCTCTCTCTGTCTCTCTTTCTCTCAGTGTTCTTTACCCCGCTAGAAGTAGAGGTTAGTTGACCAGCTTTTTCCTCCAAAAATAGCTGTATCGATCGATTATGAACTTTCCAAACCTCATTATACCTTAATTGCTACTTTGTGCTTTACCCGCATATCCCCGCATATCCTCGCATTTTCCATTGACTAATACAAATCGATAAAAAATATTTGTTAATTTTAACTTTTAAATTGCAATATTTACTCTACATGTAATTGATTATTTGCGCCTTTTTCAAAATGCTATATAAATTCTGAATATATTTTCAAATATTTCAATTTCTATAAATGTGTCATTCGAATGACCACTAACTGATAATTACCAATTGTAAAGGTCAAAGTTGATCATTAATTTTTGCATCACTTATTGTGTTGCAAAAATGTTAACTGAAACAACAGTTGGAAAATAAGAAATGGTAGACCTAGGCCAATTATCAAAGTATTGACCTTCAAAGGACTTAAGGACTCTTTTCATCATCATTTATTCTTACTACACACTCAATATGAGTGTGATTTTATCAACCTATAACTTTCACGAGAATAGCACTAACATGGTGGCGGTATTTGTAGGAAGGATAATTTTGGGACCACATGAGAATGAGACTAATCTAATGGCACTATTTATGGGAAGGATAATCCTGGAAGAGCACAAGAATGGGACTAATTTAATGGCGCTATCTGTGGGAAGGATAATCCTGGAAAAGCACAAGAATGGGACTAATCTGATGGCGCAATTTGTATTGAGGGAAGAAATTGAAATTATTAGTTTTTAAGAAGAAATACATCCCAAAGTTTATCAATTAAAGTGGAATTTCAGTTTTTTTCTTTTTTTTTTGGCAATTAAAAATTGGCGGAAATAAATATCAAATAGATAAACGCCTAAATTTAAGAAATCTTGAAAAAGAAAGTACAATGTGAACAGATAAAAAAAAGTACACAGAAAACTAAATACATTTTTCCAACTTATCGATTAGAATATCACTTTGTAACGTTGGCGGAAATGACAGCGATGACATTAAATATG